AAACACTGAGTGTGGCTTCCCTTCTAATATCTGCATCATCATGAAAGGAACAAGATACAGAGGACACTGGCTCAGGAAAATACCCTCGCAGTCACAACACCAAGTATTTCAAAATAAAAGACAGAACACATAAGCTAATCAAACTACAAATGACATCATGAGTAGAGCCGTAATGAGTGCACTGACTGAGACGAAGGCAGTGATTAGGCTGCTGGACTCCAAGCAGCTAAGTACTTCCTACTGAATTATCTTCACGTTGATATGCTCAGCGAAGACAGCGGCTAACTTTAGCCACAGAGGAAATGGGAGGGAAAAGCATGTGTCGTCGGGGTCAAAAAGGCAAAAACAGAGGAACGTGGTTAGTTAGCCTTGTCGTTTCTTAAGATAGAAGGAATGACAATTACAGTGCAGAAGGAAGGACGTAGCTTAATAGGCACAGCGGGGTCACTTAACAGTTAAAAGCAGGACAAATATTTTGAACGTTCACACTGCTGCTTGATAGAAAGTGGGAAGATAAGCCAAAAGCTACTTCAACATCACTTTTAAAGATGTTGCGTTCAAGATGAAATGATCCCACAAGAAGTAGAGGGAATATGAGAGGAAGAAAGGGCCTGTACCTTTTGCTCAAAGGACTAAAAAACGGATTTAGAAATGTCCCCACATGGTTTTTAAACTTCTTATGCAGCGATTTACAGTTGATCTCATATCGGAAACGGTAAGAATGCTCTAGGGTGTGTGGTTATATGCATCAAATGTAAAAAAGTAATCTAAGGTGTATAAAGTGGTTTCAGAGGTGCATGGTCCTTGCCGGTCCATTAGCAAAGAGAAACCAAAAGTTATCCCTTTGAGGACAACCATGCTACTTCCTGGCACGGGCAAGCAAATAATGATTTTTTTTTGGGAGAGAAATCAAAGCAAAACCCAGAAGTCTGATCACACTGATGCATTTCATTTGTACTAGCCAAAATGTCCATTGTGTACCTGCTGCTTTTTGCATTTACTCTCAAAAGCTGAAATATTCCCCTTTTTTCCAGATGTTGCCCTGTGTTCCCCCTGCTCGGCTCGTCTCTGATGAACTGGAGACGTTGGACTCGGCTACTGAAGGAGAAGGAGCCAAAAGGCAGCAGCCATTACTTTTCCAGCCCCTGTCCTTTCTAAAAAACAGCAGGCAGGAATAGCCTGAGGTCAGAGTCCCCCCCCTACTATGTCTGACAATTAGACACAAGAAGACAAAAACATTGTCATGAGGGCCGTGATTTATTCCTCTCTCAAGGGCTTCCCTTGCTTTAACCACTTCCTGTCACTGGGACTCCTCTTCCTGGCCTGAAAGATTAGACCACACTGGATGAAAGGTTTAACCATTCACACTAGTTTTAATGCTGAAAAAAGGTGTATACTGTATATTATTATTCATTGTTGAGTTACTTGTTCTATAGTCTGCACTCGTTTGATGCGTTTACATGTTCTTTTAAAAAATGTTTTGCAGGTGGAGCTCATTTTCCTTTATATACTGCTAGGTTGCTAACATAAAATATTGCTGTTTAACAGTTTATTCAAATATGTATTAAAAAAAAGGGAAATGTACAAAGTAACTTAAGATGCCATGTAAATGTAGTGGGGTAAAAAGTACAATAATAACCTTTGAGAAGTAGTGGGTGTTTAGAAAGTAGGGATGCCAGCGATTATTCGATTTTTCGAATATTCGTTACAGTCTCCATAATCGAAAATTATTTTTAAAATTCGATTTTATTTATATATTTTTTTATTATTATTTATGTTTTTCTTTTTTTTCCTGGCTTAGTTTCAACCAAAATATAGACTAATGCTAACAATAGTAATAGTATTAATAATTGTAAATGGCCATTGGTCACACCACCAGTTTGTTTTACTGTAAACTTGGAGGAAGCCAGCAGCGCAGACTGCGCAAAGTGCAGACTGCTGGGCGGCGAATAATCGATTAATATTCGCCAGGGCTGTCCGATTTTCGAATTTGATCATGGTCAGTTTCTGGCATCCCTATTAGAAAGTAGGAGGGAATATAAATAATCAAGTGAAGTACAAGAACTGCAAAATTGTATTTAAGTACAGTAGTTCAGTAAATGTACTTAGTTAACTTCCATCAATGCATGTATATGATGATGATAACAACTATAATCATAATTTACAGTTAATATACTCAGATTGCTTGAATTTAGTTTAATGAAATATACAAGATATGAATTCCTCTGGTCCCTGTGACTCAGCAGCCACGGCTTGGGAAACATTTGAGAAGGCAAACCTGAAGTAATGTGATGCACAAACTCACACACACACACATACTGTAGTACGCATACACACAAGCACACAAAAACCCTAGTTAAAGAAAAAAGGATTACTGCACAATCCTTCCAAAACCCCTTTTCATCTGAGAGGAGCAGAATCAATAAGCAAGGTTTTCTATGGGACTCAACAAGTTCAGACATGGGCCTGAAACTCAATCACCGTACTGTAAACACTGCTTTCACAAAACGTGGATTTTTTGAACTGATGCTGATTCATGGAGCTGCAGTAGGAGAAAGTGAGCTCGGTGTCTGAAGGAGCACAGATTACCACATTTATTGAGAGCAAAGCAAGCCTGGCGCGGAGTTTACAGTAGCCCTGCTGGCACCGCTGCCACGCCGCTGCTCGTTGAGTCATGTGTTGCTCCGTGACTTAGCTTGAGAACGTTTCCAGGGCTCGAGTGTAAACAGAGCTAGTGGAAAGCAGACGGATCACTCCTAGCAAAACATGCTGGCAGAGAAAGCCCGTGGCCTCCGCTCATGTTGTGTTGTGTAATGATGCAAAACCACTGGAGCGGTGCAGGGTTTTCATTCAGGCAATTGCATAGAAAGACAGAGGGAGGGAGAGAGAGAGAGAGAGAGACAGAGACAGAGAGAGAGAGAGAGAGAGAGAGAGAGAGAGAGAGAGAGAGAGAGAGAGAGAGAGAGAGAGAGAGAGAAAGAGCTGTATCTGAAAGACAGACGGAAGCAATAGCTGCACAAAGAGTCTAGTTCTGATTGTAGATGCTTCTAAGTAAACAACTCGTCGATTGTAGGCCTTTTAATGTGGAAAAGTGACATATAACTCGTTTATGTATAATGTCTTGTAGGGATCTTTTAAAGAGGCCCTATTATTCTAATTGTTATGTTTCATAGTTGTATTTTGGACCTCTATTGAGAATTCGGATTTAAGCCTTTGCAGACCATTGACATGCATACAAATGTATATAACACAACACAGGAAAGGGAATACCTCCAAAAAGCATACTAGGGCCCCTATAAGGCCTTCTTCTTGTGTCCTTCTGAAATAGGACTACTTTAACTTCACTAAAAGTACTGTTTCATTCAGGTAGCAGTACATCTAAAGAAAACTGCTAATTTTATACATTTTTTTTTAATGTGGGTAAGAGGTGGTGGGTAGTGCAGAACGCACAAGGAAAGGTTGATGATTAAAAGCATTAAGACATATTTAAATTTAAATTTAAATATGTTATGCACCTTCAAAACAACAGCATAGAGATACACTTTAAACTTCCATTAGGTAGAAGAAAATATGGCATTTGAGAGACAGCACAGATCAGTGCATATCAGCCAAGGAATCTCTCTTGTTCATGATGTCGTTGCGGATAAGAACCTCTAAAACCAAAATAAAAACAAAGCACAACAATGAAACCTTATCCTTCAAGGTTTTGCGCTGCACTTTGTTTGGTTTACAGTCTATTCTGAGTGTGTGTGGTGCAACACGAACCCTCTGTGGCTGTGGAGGTATCAATAGATCAGTGGGGCGGGCTGCTGCAGTCAGACTAAACTGTAAACAAGTCCCATCCAGAGACCACGGCTGACCCGGCACCGCACATCCCAAACCATCTGATTCATCCTCCTTTACAGGCCGACAGCAAGCTCCTCAACAGCTGCATGATGAACCCCCAATAAATCCACTGCGACCAAAAGCTTTGAATCTCTCTAAAGGAAGCGAGGATGCAGGTGGCTGGAGTGGAGTTTATTGGAACACATACTTTCCAGAAGACCAAAACAACAAGACCCTGATGTCCTCCTGATTTCAAAGGCGATCTGCAGGGAGGGGAGAGAACACTCGGAAGCAACAGCCTTTTGTTGGAAGGCACTTTCGCATTAGGAAGAGACTGTGTTTTGTTTATGGGACAACATAGTGTTGCCATTAAGGCTTTAATCAAAACTGTTTTCTGGAGACAGCCTTGAGTGACACCCCCCCCCCCCCCCCTCCTTGGTTTTGGCCTGTTTGGTTTGGTTCCCACTGAGGGAGCAGAAACAGCAGGAAGAAGAAAGGAGCGGGGAAAGTGTGGGAATGTCTCTACATCGTCGCCACGGCAGGCAGTTCCTAAACATGGCTTTAAATTAGGGGAAAAGAAAACACGGGCTAAAAAAAGGCAGTCGCCTAACTATACTCCTGCCTGCTAATTTGTCACCACTTGAAAAACAAGGGAAAAAATAGCAACAGTTTGAAATCACACTGCTTTAGAGTTAGGAAATGGCGGAATACTTAAACACAAGGGGCATTTGGGTCAACTCCATCGCACATACATCTAAACCATTGTGGCTGCGTCCATATTAGAGGGAGGAAGACATGGAGAGTGTCTGGCTCTGGCCTGCTGGCCGGCTGGCTGGGATCGGACCAGTGACAGCTGGGGCTTGAAAGTCTTACATCCAAAGCCAGGGCTCACTGCCACTTGCTACATAGCAGCGCTGAGCTAAGCCCACCCCCTCCTGTCCAAGCCCTCACTCTGAAAGATCACTGTCCTGAACAAAACATTAAGCCCCTGCCAAATAACTCACTCTTAAACCATCTTCTCTTTAAAGTGTACAGTAAATCCAAGAGCGGAAGGGGTACTGGAGAGAAGACAAGATGGCAAGAGGAAGTATCTGTCTGCTGCCATGTTCGAGAGGGGAAGGGGTCACAGAGAGGGGAGTTTCTCAGAGTGTTCAGTGTGTTTGTGTGATCATTACCTTATCAACCAGCGGCAGACAGCGTGGTACCCTGTGCTCCAGTTTGACAATGGTGATGAAGTCACCCTCTTGGCGTTCATCTTCACTTGTGTTGCACAGAGACAGAGGGTGATACTGCAAGAGAAAAAGAGAAAAGGTTATCATTTCATAAGGACAACAAGAAAGGTCAATCAGTAGATCCCTAGGTGTGTTGAATCTCACTCAATTGTCCTTAGTCAAATTGGCAGAAAGGATAACAACTAGACGGGGATTCATTTATCTTGTCTATGCCTAACTGTATTACAAACTTGTAATATTTGTCCTAAAAATGTAAAACAATGTCAAGAGATTTGATTTGATTGTGTAAATCAGCACTTTCTTTTGAAAATATAACAATAACCGACCACATTGATGGTTTCTTAAAGAGACAGTACAGAACACAAATTACAGCTGTTATTTTGTTCTAACAGAAAGATGGAGAATAACTGGAGAAAAACTGAGCACTAAAATGTATCTCAAATACCAGTGATATTCACAAGACATATGCAGATAGATGAGAAAACATTTGTTAAGCAGATGGGGATAGAAACATTTAAAACTTGTGACATACTTGAATTTACTTTGGTAAACACCAACCATTTGGTTTGGATCATTGTACTCCTCTATTGTACTCATCTTTTAAAGCTTTGTGACCGGGAATTTGAAAAATGATACAGCTGTAGCAGAATAAGACACTAACCTCCAGATACAAAAACACATGTTACTGACAGCATGTGACCTAAAGTATATCAAAGACTGGACCATAACCAAGAAGAGAAGAAGATAATGTTTGGGACACTTGCACTTGAAAGAAGCTTTTATGTGTTGAATGAAGGCGTTTCCGCTCTAAACTGTTCACAGTTGTTATCAAGAGGAAAAAACTTTAGCACCCTGAAAAATCAATTACATGGATGGTGCTGTTCACTCCCACTGAAAGCCTTGAGGACTGAAAGAGCCAGAGATAGTCTTTGGTAGGAACATTTGATCCCCTCTGAAAGGGAGGAAATTCGTAGCTGCTGAAAGGCTGCATTTAAGAGCTCAAAGGATAGCAGCAGTGTTTGCAAGTCACAGACATGCTGTCACGGGTACGAGGTTGTCCAAAAAGGAGAAAACCGCTCCTATACACCCCCGAACATCCCTAATTTCCTCACATGACATCAACAAGAGCACCAACATGATGCTGCCCATCCTCACAGATCACCATGAGGGGCCCGGTCCCTGCGCTCACCCAGCAGGGCGGTCCCACCCTGCCCTGTCCTGCCCTGCCCTATAGGCCCGTCCTGGCATGGTGCTGCCCCGTTGGGCCCCTTCATGTGGCTGTGGGCTGAGGTCATGGGACTCCCCCTCATCTCACCCAGCGGAAATCCCTAAATTAAAAAGACCCACGGGTGACATCAACAGCTGGCACCCCCGTCCAGGAGAATTGACGTAATGTTTTGCAAAGGGCTTGTGCATGTCTGTCACAAGGAGGGAGAGAGGAGAAGGAGACAGATTTGGGGGACCGGGGGCGGGGCTTGTAGGTAAAAGAAGGAAGTAGGGAAACACCCTTTGTGTAGAGATTGGAGAGTGCAGTGGAGTCACATACCATGAATAATTCCTATGATGTCTACTATGAGTTGAGATGATGAAGCTAGTTGGGAAACAAGCCAGCTAAATACCTTCTGCACAAACAACATGTGTATTAATGACCTCCAGACAAGTGATTACAATCCAGAGTATAACCTTAGACTGTTTATACGAATTGGACGTAGTAACTGTGATATCACCCATTAGTTAATGTTTTGAAGCCTCAAGTTCATTATTTGGCTGTTGCCATCTTGTTTTTTCGAGCCAAAAGTGACAAGAGGATGGAGCTTAGAACAATAGAACAAGACAATTGGAGAACTGAAAACACACTATGACAGGCTTAAAGTTCTATGAGGACAACACTGACAACAGCGAGTTGTCAATCACAAGGTATTACCGCCATAAAGCATACCTTTCCAAAATTGGGATCAATAAAGTATATATCTATCTAGTATATATCTACCTTGCATTATCGTCTAATTTACTCTTAAGGCAATCATCTTGTATTGAAGAAGACTTGAACGATTGAGAAAATAACTTGTAAGGAAAATGTTTACTGAGGTAATACATCAAGTGTGAAATAGGGTCCTAGTTCGGTCATTTTTTCAAAGGCTTCTATAAAAAAGGACTTTTTTCTAACTGTCTTTCTGCTCGCTAAAGGAAAGAATATAGGGAAAAGGCACTTCCTGTATTAGCTTTCACTTTTCACACCTGGAGATAGTCCCTTTGTTGTACCCCGGGGGATTATTTGGCAGCTGCCAGAATATGTTTATGAGGGAAAGTGTGACGTTATGAAGCACTTCTGCTTATTAAGAAATCACTGTCACAATAATTATAGAGCCAACTGGAGTCATTTGTATCACCTTAAGAAACGCCATGTGATTGAGAGTACAGGGAACTTGTCAGAAAGTGAGCAGAGGTGTCTTAAGACTGTAGTTAGCTGAAGTGGAAAAAGGCAGAACTCTGACAAAAAAAAGACAATTCAATTGGATACAAAAATAAATGCTACTTAATTAACATTCCATTTACAGTCCATTGAAATAAACACATACGTATGATACGTCAAACAAGAAAAGCTCTGAAAGCAATGATATAGAGAATAACCGAGAAGGCCATGGGTCATGGTGAAGTACTCAAAGACACTAAGACATCAAATCCAGAGTACCTCTCTCTACATGAAGTTGAAGGTGAACAATAAATGGAATAATCTTGACTTCAGAATCTGCCCTGCATGACGTTTTCAGACCTGGCATGTGGCCTGAGAGGAAGCTCCTCTTAAGGAAGTCATGGTCTGGCCTGCATGCTGCCCTCCCAGCTGCCTCTACCAGTCCACATTTACTAGGCCTAAATTAGAGGCCTAAAGTTGAACTTGGCCCTTAACAAAGTAAAAGAAAGAAATAAAAAGATATTTTAATGGCCTTCCTTCATTGATGCCATGACCTCTGCTCTTTTACGCTGTAGGTTTGTAGGAAAAGTTGAAAAATAGCTACTTTCAGAAAAGAGATGTGCCAATACGCTGAAATCACAAGGGTTATTTTGAATCTTGAGGCTTAGTTGGTCATGTTTTGATCGTGTTGCGATATTAAACATGTTGATACATGGGACTGTGCAATCATACCTAATAAAGTAGATAATAATCCCGAAGCTGAGTCAAACAGGCACAGAAGGAGCGGCTGGTTTGAGTTTCCTCTTGCTCTCCTCTAAGGGCAACCACTTCCATGATCACAGTGTCTATGTTTTGCATTGTTGACAAGAGTTAGAGTTTTCTTCTATTTTAGATATGCACACCACTTATAAACAGATGGCTGCAAACTCTCTCCATGTGCCACCATTGGTGCCATCCACCACTTAGAGTCATGCTGCCACTGGACTATAAATGGCACCCAGGATAGACTGAAACGTCTTCATTTGGTTTTTGTATGGCCCTGAGAAAAAGGGGCCTGGGAAACCGAATCACTGAGTCTCCATTTCACAGGGACTAGAAACCACAGGGCACGCAAACAGTTCCCCACAGACTGTTAACAATGCTAACTCCTCCGTTCCGCCTCCTCCTCCTCCTCAATCTGTCTAGATCTGTTGCAAAACTGACGGGGACATGTCCCTCGGTTCCTTTGTAGCCACGATTAAAGGCATTCCTTTGCAGCTCAATCAAAGACTACCCTAAAAATATTCCGGGGCAAGAATCTTAACAGTTTCAAAAACAAATACATGGACAGAAAAAGGGGAGAATAAATAGTAGCTGCGGTGAGAAGTCAATAATATTTGTTTTCCCCTGCACTGAGCCCTGCGGATCTTCTTTTTTCATCTGCTAATAATCAGCAAGAGAGATTTTTAGTTCATCTCTTGCCAGCAGGGAACCAGGCCCAGGCAGTTATGTCAGTATGCGTCGGGGTGGGATGGGATGGGGGGGGGCTTGCACCTCTCATCGAGTTCCACCACTCAATTACCAGCTGCTCAGGCCACTTTTCAAAAACGATTGGATGAAACGCTACATGCAAAAGTGATCAAAACGAAGCAGATTGCTTTAGTAGGCGATGAAAGAAATACATTAGTGTGATTATTCTATCGTACAGTGTTTAATCGAGAGAGGGAGGGAGGAAGGTTTCTTCAATGAAGCTCTGCCCTGAGGCCTGGAAAGCCAGCCAGGTTGGTGCACACCAGGGAAGATTTCAATCAACCCTGACACATGCAAGCTAGCAGCAGCAGCACATACACACACACACACACAGTAAAAAAACAACACAATATCTACTGCCTGGGTTCGGACTGACCCACTTCCTCAGAGAGTGACTCAGCCTCCCACGTCTGGGCTCAAACGTATGAAATCTCTTTGTCTCTCATTCTCTTGAACTCCATTAAACACACCTGTTGTGCATGTGCTCACACTTACACTTATATAAAAGTTCTGTTAAAGTGAGTAAGAAGTCAGAGCAGTGGGTTCAGAAATTGGGGCACGGCTTCAGATTGTGGTTGCCCAATTCAACAGAATGACTTTCAGTTATTTGATTTGCATTAATACTGCCCTGTATTATTATTAGACTCCTTTATTATGTAAAACTTAGTAAGTTAATTTGTGTTTTGATTCAAACAGACACAAGTGATTTGGCCTCACTCATGACACGACATAGATTTATGATGCTATATCTGTCTCTGTGGGTGTAAATCAAAGCCTTTCACTTATTTAACTTGGCAGAAGATTTGGTAACGAGGGCAAATGTTTGGTTTAAGAGCAGGAAGAGCGGTCTCTAAAAAGAGCAAAGAGAGACCGCATGTAATAGTTGAAAGAGATCTGAATCTGGTTGCCTGGGTTACTAAGCAACAATAACTTTGGTCCCAGCAAAGATTTGGCTCTCTGTACACATTTGTGAAGTGATGAGGGAGCCTGAGGTGACAGGACGGGCTACAGGACGGGCTACGACACTGACCCATGCCACCACCCCTGCCCCCTAACTGAAATCACTAATAGCACGGGTTAATGAATGAGGTTGCAGCTATGTATTGTTGCTGGAGGCACATGAGAGCACATGCAG